GCCTGGAGGGCCCAGCTGTTTGTGGGCGTGTTGAGTGAACAAACAGCCAGTCTGGCTGGGGCCTCATGCCTGTGATCTGGGAGGCCGAGGCAGAAGGATTGCATGCATGTGCAAGCCGGATTGGGCAATTTAGCAAGACATTGTCTCAAGACTAAAAATTTTAAAAAGGGCTGGATGTAGCTCAGCGCAAAGGTCCTGGATTCAATCCCCGGTGCTGTAAAAAGAAACAAAAAAACAAACAAAAGCCCTAAAAAATACACAAAACACTTTGGACGAATTAATTTGGCAGTTTCAGCAGGGACACAGTCGCCAGCACCTGGCCCTCCTTGAACGAAGCTGAGCACTGCAAAAGCTGGGCTGTGCCCATGGCCCAGGCCCTTCGTGCACCTTGAGAGGAAGACAACAAGAGCCTGCTTCTGCTTTGGCCAGAGTTTACTTTCTTTGTTTTCTGAGTCAGGGTATTGCCCTGTGGTCAGACCAGCCTTGAACTAAGTCACTGTGATCCTCCAGCCTCAGCATCCGAGTGCTGGGATTACAGATGGAGACCAGCATGCCCAACCTCAGTTTTATTGGAGAGTTCCCTCCGTGCCGGTGTGCTTACTTGTTTTATAAGCTGGCACATAAATTTTATGCACTTATCCTGCGCAGCAGGTATTAAGTTTGCCTGCCTTGCGGAATGGCCAAGTCTGGCTGGTACATTCCTGTGGCGAGAGTGCTCTGTGTGGTGTGTGCCGCCACATTTCTGAAGAGTACCTCATCCCTAACTGTGATCCTACTGCGTGAACGTTCAGAAGTACTCGTCCTAGCTCACCAACATCTCCCCACCGCCTTCTAGACACCCCAGGCTCCTAGGCACCCCACTGCAGTTCTACTATCTGCTCTGCTTTTTAGGAGTCCGCTAAATTATTTCACTTAGCATCCTTGGCGTTATCCATGCTGCTGCATGACGGGCCCGCGCTCCTCTTGAGTGGCTAATTACTGTTCTGCTGTGTGTCCACCCACGGTTTCTACCCTTTCATGCAGGGGTGGACGCAGACGGACTTCGTGTTTGGCTATGGGGAATGATGCTGCGCGAAGCACAGCAGTGCTGTTGTCCCCTCCCGTCCCATCTCCGGGCATGTGGGAGGGATTGCTGGCTCAGGGTGGTTCTATGTTAATATCGCGAGGAACGGCAGTGCCGCTTTCCGTAATCACCGCAGTGATTTAGATTTCCACCAGTCTGCTCCGGCACTTGTGCTCCTCGTAGTCACCATCCCAGCTGGAGTGAGACAGGGCCTTGTAAAGCCGCGGTTTATGTGTCCCTGAACATTGGTGATGCTGAGCTTTTTTTTTTTTTTTTTTTTTTTTTT